ATAAAAATAACCTGCTGGGTTTGCAGAAAAACCTCTGAAGTTAAATGGGCCTGGGGGAAAGAAGGTGCCTTAGCTAGAAGAGGAGTTGTGCGAGTGGTGGTTGGATAGGGCAGGTAGCAGGCAGGGCTTGCTCTGGGTGTGATGCTGAGGCTGTCAGGCCAAGGAGCCCTCAGCCCTGGATGGAAGGGTGGAGCAGCTGAGGGGTCAGGCAGCTTTGCATGTGCAGCAGCCTCTTTGGTGGTTGCACTGCAGAGAGTAGTTCCCTGGGGATCTCCATCACATTCCACTGGAGGCGTCAGGTCCTGTGATCAAACGTTTTGGGTGATGGTGTAGGTAGTGCTGTGATTCTTGGTGAGTGCTTGGTGTGTTCCCCAAGAGCTCCATGTAGGTAAAGGTGATCTGCAAGGATTGCCTGGGAAAGGCAGACAGCCTTTTAGAGGGGCCTGAGGGATCTTCCCTGTACGTGTCCCTTCCCTTCCATCACTTTTTCTGTGCTTGCTTGAAGCTCATCATCTCAGGACAGGCGAATGTTGGTAAAAAATAAGCTGTTGTATCCCATGAAGGGGAATATTGCCTTTCTCTGGCCCTCTTGCATTGCCATTAGTTGCTCCTTCATGGGTTCCCATGTTTGCAGTGATGCACCCCTGATGTTTGTAGATTGGGCTGGATTCTCTCCTCTCCCTCCTGCCACAGTGTGTGGCAGCATTACCTGCTCAGAAGGTGGCAGGTAAGCACTGGAGAGGCACAGAGAGACTCTGTCAAGTCATCAAATCCATGTGCCAGAGCCTGAACATCTGGAAATGGACTGCAACTGGTTCCCTCCCTCTTTCAGGGCTTCACTGCTTCTGACCCCTCCAGGAAAACTGTCAGTGTTGACTCTGGATAAACGTGGGGGCATCCTGTAAAACAAAACAGGAGTGTTGAGGCTGTTGGGATGTAGATGATTTAATTACTGTACAGACACTCATTGCTATTCATATGCATTTTTCTTACATAAAAATCCTGGAGACACCACATTTTCAGTGAAGAGTTCTCCCCGAAGTCAACACTGTTGCTCTGCCTTCTGCATCTGGGAAGGGGTTTTCCTTAAATCCCCCTGTGGCTGTTTATATAACACTGATTACAAATTTAAATGTTTAAAGCTTTTCAAAAAAAACCAACTCTTCATACATTTTCCCTTTGGTTCCAATACAATGGCCTCTGAGAAATTTAAACTCTCTTTAAATGTAAGAGACGTTTTACTTTTTGGGCTTCTCGTGCAAGCTTGTGCCACAGTGTCATATCTAATATTCGTAGTTAGGGCCAGGATTTACCAGGAACGGGCACAGAAGCCAGCCCCAGGGGTGGAAAACCTCGAATGGCATGGGCCATGGGAGGACTTGGGAAAATTTCTAGAAAGTGGTTCAGTTCCTCCAACATGGAAGTTCACTCTCGAACAACTCCTAAACCCTACACAGATAATAACAGCTGTGAAGGAGAGAGCTCATGATAAACCCATAGAGAGGCAGTTGGTAGATGCATGTGGGGCTTTAACCTACCCATGTCTTGGCAGCCCGAGTACAAGAGTTAAAGGACCAGAGAAAAACAAAGTCCGTGAAAGTGAGTGCAGTGCCGGTATCCCGTGGGCAGGGATCTGACCCACTAGAAGGTACCTCCCGCTGGTATTTGCAGACGGAAAACTGTGACGAGCAGGACAGAGACCAGTATTAGAGGGGCCCTGCCTCTAGCCAGGTAGAGGCACGGGACAACCGTGTCTATTGGACGGTGTGGATCCGGTGGCCTGGCACATCAGACCCACAAGAATATAAGGCTTTGGTTGACACTGGCGCTCAATGCACGTTAATGCCCTCGGGACATGTGGGACCAGAGGCTATTTCCATTTCTGGGGTGACAGGAGTGTCGCAGCAGTTGACTGTGTTGGAAACTGAAGTGGGTTTGACCGGGAAGGAGTGGCAGAAACACCCCATTGTGACTGGTCCAGATGCCCCATGTATCCTGGGCATTGACTACCTTAGGAATGGGTATTTCAAAGACCCCAAGGGACATAGGTGGGCTTTCGGGATAGCTGCTGTGGAGACAGAAGCGGCTAAGCAGTTGAATTCACTACCTGGCCTCTCAGAGAACCCTTCTGCTGTGGGACTGTTGAAGGTTGAGGAACAGCGAGTGCCAATTGCCACTACAATAGTGCACCGTCGGCAGTACCGAACGAACCGAGACTCTGTGATCCCCATCCATAAGATGATCCGTGAGCTGGAGAGCCAAGGAGTGATCAGCAGGATCCACCCCCCCTTCAACAGCCCCATCTGGCCTGTGCGAAATCTGACGGAGAATGGAGATTGACTGTGGACTATCGTGGCCTGAATGAAGCCACCCCGCCGCTGAGTGCCGCTGTTCCAGACGTTGGAGCTCCAGTACGAGCTGGAGTCTAAGGCAGCGAGGTGGTACGCCACTATTGACATCGCAAATGCGTTCTCCTCCATTCCCTTGGCACCAGAGTGCAGGTCGCAGTTTGCTTTCACGTGGAGGGGCGTGCAGTACACGTGGAACTGACTGCCCCAGGGGTGGAAGCACAGTCCCACCATCTGCCACGAATTGATCCAGGCTACATTAGAGAAAGGTGAAGCTCCAGAACACCTGCAGTACATTGATGACATCATTGTATGGGGGAACACAGCAGAAGAGGTCTCTGAGAAAGGAAAGAAGATCATCCAGATTCTCCTGGAAGCTGGGTTTGCCATCAGAAAGAGTAAAGTCAAGGGACCTGTCCAAGAGATCCAGTTCCTGGGAGTAAAGTGGCAAGATGGACGTCGCCAGATCCCGACTGAAGTCATCGATAAAATCACAGCAATGGCCCCCCCCAACTAGCAAGAAGGAAACCCAAGCTTTCCTGGGTGCCATAGGTTTTTGGAGAATGCATATCCCCTAGTACAGCCAGATCGTAAGCCCTCTCTATCTGGTAACCTGCAAGAAGAATGATTTCCAGTGGGGTCCTGAACAACAGCAAGCATTTGAACAGATTAAACAGGAGATTGCCCATGCTGTAGCCCTTGGGCCAGTCAGGACAGGACCAGATGTGAAGAATGTGCTCTACTCTGCATCTGGGGATAAGGGCCTCTCCTGGAGCCTCTGGCAGAAGGTGCCTGGCGAGACCCGAGGCCGCCCACTTGGATTCTGGAGCCGAAGCTACAGAGGGTCAGAAGCCAATTACACTCCAACGGAAAAGGAGATCCTAGCAGTTTATGAGGGAGTCCAAGCTGCCTCAGAGGTGATTGGCACAGAAGAACAGCTCCTCCTGGCACCTCGGCTACCGGTATTGAGTTGGATGTTCAAAGGGAAGATGCCCTCTACGCATCATGCCACTGATGACACCTGGAGCAAATGGATCGCCCTGA